CGTTTGACGTTCATTTGCTGAATTTTTTAAATTTAAAAGTATATTTCACGGTAATCTTTTTCGCGTTTCTGTTATTTTATCTATCTGCCTTCAGCAATTTTTATCGGGTTCGGATGTCAAGGATCTGAACGTTTTTTCAAATTTGATCTTCATTCCTGTCTCATATTTCTTCACGCTCGACGTACCGTGAATCTTGCTTTTGCCTTTTCCATATACCTCTTCCTATTTTAACGTGTTCCTATATTTTCTAAATCCTCGATTTCTCTTCATTGCTGCCTTCTCCACATCTCTTACGTCTCCATGCTTTACGGCTCTCATTGATTCTTATCGCGTTTGTATTTCATACGTTTATTTTGTATCGTTCCTTTCATCCAGTCAAAACCTTCATTTTATTCGTCATGAAATAATCGTCAAATTAGATTAAATTGAATTATGGTACTGAGTTATGGCAACTTGATAAATATTTGTACATTGACTTTGAGGTTGCTTTCCGAGAACTATGGGCTCTGTGACAATGAAATTTCACGAAATCAACATGTAAGCTCGAGTGTTTTGTGACCCAGTGTAGAAGCAGGAGGCAACAAGTAGAGGAAGCTTATGGTAATGTTCCCGTCCGAGCACTTATGGTTAGTTGGAGGGTTGAAGCCATCAGAAGGGGATAGAAACTACCCCTTGGAGTAGTTATTTCGCCTGTTAAAAGCTGCTTCAGGCAAGTGCATAGTCAAAGTAACGATCTCGACTCGGTCCTTCGCCGAAGCAATCTTACTTGGATTACTTTGAGTCGCAACCTCGACTGATGTCTCTCTCTCTTTTTATTTCTCTATCTTTTCTTACCACTCGCTGACTCTGAAGTGTCTTTCAAAATCTTCAGCTTTTAACTTCCAAAATTTTTGTTAATTTCTTTGACATATGAACAAAAAAATTCAGTTTGAAATATTTTTTTTTTTTTTCAAAAAATAAAAGCTTTAGATATTGACTTGTTTTTTTATGATTGTATAAAAATTAAGTCTGATACGTTATTTTCCTGGCGTATTTTATAAAATTTAAATATCAAGTTTGAGAAGATTCCTCGAGCAATTTAGGGAGAATCGCCGTAGGAAATGTTGTGTAATAGACGTGCGCGATGTCTAGTGAAATTTCTGAGTTTAGGGAAATTTATAATTCGACGAAACGCGATAGTCACGACCGAGCAGCTCTGAAACTTTTAACCCGATCTCGCGCAACTTTCCAACGGATATTCGCGTTTTTCATGACGCTGTTAAAACGCTCTGCGCATCAAAATTGAGTTGTCATGGTTTTCCCTCTCCTTTTTCAACGGAAACTTGCCTATCTGACACTTGCTAACGAAACATGAAAAGTCTGACAGTAATTGATGAATGTATGATTAAGGTATCACAAAATGGCGGGTGTCACTTTACCTCAAAACAGAAAATGGCTGCCCAAACATTTTTAATAGACAATCTGATCGTCTATTGTAATAACAATTACTTGCAAATGAGATCTGAAATAATTTTTTTCTGCTAAAAATCACGTTCTGAATTAATTTTGAGCTTTAGAATTTATTTTCAAACAGAAGATTCACAGGCATTCATGTCAAATTGTAAAGCAAATTAAAATTGTAATTTTGTAAATAAAATTGTACGTAAAATTTTTCTGTTCTCACAGTTTATTTCTTAAAGCTGTTCCTAAAGTTAGAGATTGAAAGAAATTCTCAGGCTTTCGATATGCCCCTGCCAATTAGCAGCTCATAAAGATCTCTCGCACACCATAAATTCCAGCTCCCACTCTGTTCAGGGGAAAGTCGTACATTTGACCTGAAGACGTGAAAATCGAAAGAATGTACTGCAGAAACGAGAGACTCTCTTTCGTAGTACATAATTTTCTTTCAAATGATAATTTATAGCGAGTCACGTGACACGGAAAGCGTTAAACTCGCTTCTAAATAACAATTTTTCAAAGTAGCATTGAAAGCGAGCGCTCCAGATGGAATAATAAAATGAAAAGAAAACGGAAACGTTCCTTCTGTTCGAGATGCTTCAAAGGACGCTCTTCTCGTCACTCGGCAAGATGCAGATGGTTTAATTATGCTGAATGTCGATAATAAAGTCGCCAGCTGCGAGCAACCCGTGGTAAGGCTCAATTAAAGTTGTACCTTAATTTCCCGGGCACGAGGTAGAAGGGGCAGATAAGAAGATCGTGACGAGTGAATGAAACGTGAAACAGGGACGGAGATTGGCGAAATAAAAAGAGACAAATAAACCGAACAGAAACTTAAATTCACGGAAATTCAGAAATTAAAGAGACGTTGAATCGTAGAGAGTCAAATAGCTTACATAATTGATTTCAATAGTTCTCATTATGAGAACAGATGTTTAAGAATTTTGTTAAATAACTTTAATTGTACTGTATCTGTGGAGATACTTTTCTAGTTGCAATTTAAATACGCAGGTATATTTTTTAAGATTCAGCTACAAATTTATTATAAGCGCCATTTTGTGATAGTTTTATGTTCTTGAGTTTTATTTGACTTTGTATGCTTACAAGTTAGTAACAGTTCAGTCTAACTGATAGTCAGCCATTGTGTATTAAAGACACCAGCAGACGCCATTTTGTTTGAGCCACGACTCAAATGGATGTCCTATAAATATCATTTCGAAGTTCATATTGTGATATTTTTAAATTATATCTGACTTCATTTGCTTACAAGTTAGTGATAGTTCATTTTAACTGATAGTCAGCCATTTTGTATTAAAGACACCATTGGACGCCATTTTGTTTGAGCCACGACTCAAATGGCTGCCCTATAAATATCATTTCGAAGTTCATATTGTGATATTTTTAAATTATATCTGACTTCATATGCTTACAAGTTAGTAATAGTTCTATTTTAACTGATAGTCAGCCATTTTGTATTAAAGACATCAGCAGACGCCATTTTGTTTAAGCCACGACTCAAATGGATGTCCTATAAATATCATTTCGAAGTTCATATTGTAATATTTTTAAATTATATCTGCCTTCATATGCTTACAAGTTAGTAATAGTTCAATCTAACTGATAGTCAGCCATTTTGTATTAAAGACACCATTGGACGCCATTTTGTTTAAGCCACAATTCAAATGGATGTCCTATAAATATCATTTCGAAGTCCATATTGTGATATTTTTAAATTATATCTAACTTCATATGCTTACAAGTTAGTGATAGTTCATTTTAACTGACAGTCAGCCATTTTGTATTAAAGACACCATTGGACGCCATTTTGTTTGAGCCACGACTCAAATGGATGTCCTATAAATATCATTTCAAAGTTCATACACTAATATTTTTAAATTATATCTGACTTCATATGCTTACAAGTTAGTGATAGTTCAGTCTAACTGATAGTCAGCCATTTTGTATTAAAGACATCAGCAGACGCCATTTTGTTTAAGCCACGACTCAAATGGATGTCCTATAAATATCATTTCGAAGTTCATATTGTAATATTTTTAAATTATATCTGCCTTCATATGCTTACAAGTTAGTAATAGTACATTTTAACTGATAGTCAGCCATTTTGTATTAAAGACACCATTGGACGCCATTTTGTTTGAGCCACAATTCAAATGGATGCCCTATAAATATCATTTCGAAGTTCATACACTAATATTTTTAAATTATATCTGACTTCATATGTTTGCAGATTAACAATTGTTCACAGCAACTGACAGTCGGCCATTTTGTACTAGAAACGCCTATAGACGCCATTTTGTGTCCGCCTCGCTTAAAATGGCCGCGCTATAGCACTCCAAAGTTCATAAAACCGATTGAATATTTCCGATTTTGCAAATCTAACGTATCATACAAGGTTCAGAGTGACTTTTTTTGCAAAAGTATCGCTCAGAAGTGGTGAAAACGTTTCTCACGGAGCTGGATCGATTTCTTGAGCATCGTTCCGGCGAGCTAACTCAGTAACAAGTTCCTCTTTCACGGGACTTCCGGTGGCGTCGAGCTACCAGGCTGCGTTTTAATCTCCATCGAAAATCTAATGTGCCGCATTTCTTTAGCATTTTATGGTAATCGCTGTGAAGTTTACCCTGACAGTTTGCTCTGCAGCGACAGCTGATGACAACGATAGGGTTGCTCCCCGTTGATGACTTCCGTAAACACGCCTGATTTTCTCTGTGGAAGGGAAAACCTTAAATACTGTGTTATTTAAATTATATTAAACATTGTTGGTGTTACGAGACTAGTCTTATTACTACTGTGTTTAATTCTCCCTGTTACATTTAACCTCTTAGGTACTTTAGGTACCTAAGAGCACTAGTGGTACCGCCTCTCTGTCCTATAGTGCCCCTCGCGAATGTCATCACATAGTGGCTCTACCGGCTCACCCTATTTTAATTGAATGACCACATATTTTGACTCGCACTTTTTCACCACGTTTTAGAAGAGTATCCACAAAAGTACATGACACGTAAATAAAAGGTAGCGCCAAGTTCAGGCACCATGAGCACCTCCGCACTAATACACGATATGGAAACATTTGGAAATGACATATTTTCTGAATTTTCCAAAAAGTAAATTATCAAAGTTAAAGTATATCATATCTTTGGAAAAAATTTAATCATGAAAAACTTCGTTCCAATGTACTCGCGACAGCATTGTCACACACTGTAGTGCTACGAGGTAACCTTGCCTTATGATTTATTTGTCGGGTCAATCAGAACTGATCGGACAATATCAAGGAACGGAGAATATTTTTATATTCAGCGAATCTTGATTATGTAGATTGTAATTGGATTTGAACTCCAAATTCGGGGTGCGTCATGTGCGTCACGTGTCAGACAGTAGGGTTAAGCCTGTAATTGCGAATGAACGTCTGAATAAGAACATGTCGCTAGAACAGCATTGTAGTGCAGTGTAATTCGAATATTTTTAACCAATTTCGATCGAAGACCAAATAAGATTTCTTATCAGACTCGACTAACTTTCTTCCTGTTTTCTCGCTGTTACAGAACTCGAACAACCAAGTCGCACTTCCGGGACAAAACCAGGTAGCACAGACGCAAGCAGAGACCCAGGGTGGTCCCAATACGGTTCTCAGAGTCATCGTCGAACAGATGGTTTACCCAATTTCCTTGGACGTGCTCTATCAGGTGAGTTATGACTTCTGGTTCCTATCTGTCGAACGATTTATCGTCAACTTAGTCCTACTACGATTTCGTATTAATCGTGATAATTGATCACCTTGTCCACATTTATCGATGATGATACATTTCACTCCATCGTAAGATACTCAAACGACTTTGAACTAGTTTTTAATTTACTTGTAGCAGAGTAAAATGAAGTAGAAGGTTCATTACATAGCTGCCATTTTGAAGTTCATATTGTGGTAGTTTTAAGTTATGTCTGACTTGAAATGTTTTTGTAAACTGATAATTCACAGTCAGCCATTTTGTAGTGAGAACACCAATGGACCGCCATTTTGTATGAGTCTGCCTTTAAATGCATGTACTATAGGTATTTTGTTGCTAATTTGATTATGTGACATACCACATGTGATAGAAGTGACAACATAAGTACATTGATTAAAGTAATTTTTTAAATTATTACCAGAGCGATTATGCAGTAATTTTCATTGGATCATCTCTAAGTCATAAATGCTATTTAATGATACCTTTGTGCCGCGAAATTATATTTGACTGTACGCGAACCATGCAGAATATTAATATTCATAAATATTATTGAAATTGACAATTAAATAAATCCTTCCATTCATTTAAAACTCTATCGAAATAAATTATTGTTATTCGCAAAATCATTTTCATCCTGGAAATTTAGCTGCAATTTAAAGAGAACCGTGATACGAGGGGGTGGAGTAGCCAGAGGGTTGTATTCAAAAGCAAAAATCGTCGAAAATCGCCGGGAATGATGTGGGAGATGAGAAATTAATCGGATTTCGGGGTTGTTCCCGAATTCGATTCTCGATTAATCGGATATTTCCTCCGATATCCTTCGTGGATTACGATCTGCAAGGGTTGCGGCATATTTCCCCGAGATTTTTCACCCCTGTAGTCCTGAACGCGTTTTCGTTAATGGAATATTAAACAATACCCGATTAAATATTTATCAAAACTTCTGTTTCAGTGATAATCTTTTATTCTCCATAAATTCTTTTATATTTTATTGCTTGCATACCTCAGAATAGTCCTTATTTTTCATGGTAAATCAACTATTCTTCCCAATTAAAAATCAGTGACGGGAGGAAACGTGTTAAATTTCGGGGTATTATGTTTTGATGCGTTGATTTTTCGACGTATTGTAGTTAGGCATGAAGTAATTCGACACATGGTAATTCTACGCGTTGGTAACTCGATACGGTGGTAATTTGATACGTAGTAATTCGATACATAGTAATTCTACGCGTGGTAACTCGATACGGTGGTAATTTGATACGTAGTAATTCGATACATAGTAATTCTGCACGTGGTAACTCAATACGTGGTAATTCGATACGTGGTAATTCGACACGTGGTGATTCGACGCGTGGTAACTGGACACCTGGAAATTCGATACATAGTAGTCCGACACATTGAATATCCTACGCATTGTAATTCGATACTTTCAATTCTCCAAACGTTGTAATTCGTTGTGTTGAATTTCCCACGTGTTGTAATTCGATACATTGAATTTCTTACGCGTTGTAATTCAATGCATTGAATTTTCCACGCGTTGTAACTCGATGCATTGAATTTTTTACGCGTCGTAATTTGATGCATTGAATTTTCCACGCGTTGTAATTCGATGCGTTGAATTTCTCACGCGTTGTGATTCGTTGCGTTGAATTTTCCACGCGTTGTAATTCGATGCGTTGAATTTCTTATGCGTTGTAATTCGATGCATTGAATTTCTCACGCGTTGAATTTCCCACGCGTTGTAATTCGATGCGTTGAATTTCCCACGCGTTGTAATTCGATGCGTTGAATTTCCTACGCGTTGTAATTTGATGCGTTGAATTTTCCACGCGTTGTAATTCGATGCGTTGAATTTCCTACGCGTTTTAATTTGATGCGTTGAATTTCTCACGCGTTGAATTTCCCACGCGTTGTAATTCGATGCATTGAATTTCCCACGCGTTGTAATTCGATGCGTTGAATTTCCCACGCGTTGTAATCCGCCGCGGTGAATCTTATCGCACTGTGCTTCATTACCTTGAATTTTGCCACCCACGCGTTGTAATCCGCCGCGGTGAATCTTATCGCACTGTGCTTCATTACCTTGAATTTTGCCACATATTATAATGCAACACACTGTAGTTTGTTGAGTTCCGGAACATCCTATCTTCCCGTAGTACATCACCGCGTCATAGATGCCATAAAACTGATTAAAAACATCGTTCCATCATGTCACTATGACCTTTTCACCCAACCCCTGCGTCGAGCATTTAACAAAGGAATAAAAACCGTTTACTAAAAGTTTAGTATCCATCGACGTATTACCGAAAATAAGATTGTAGAAAATCGTCCTAAATCCCCGCGCAAATCATCTTCACGAAGAAGAAACTCGTAACTCGAGGGAAATAAAGAGGGTAAAAGGAAATCGCACGCTTCACGACATACTTTCCATTTTTCGGTGCATCGCGAAGAAAATAAAAAGAGAGCCATCTTTTCATTCGAATCGCACGGAAAACAGGTTCCCTTAAAAGCCACCCACTTTTAAGTGCATTCACGACGAAAAAGGGAATATTTAGCATACGTCACGTATGAAAACACAGTACAGGCAGAGAAAGAAGACCTTGTTTCCGGGATCGTGGCACTTGACGATGGTGCGCATTATTCCGGTTAAAAATGCATGGACCACTCAACTCGGACCGGAAGTTCCAGGGTTATCCTGTTATCCTGTTCCGAAGATAGTTCTACTTAATGAAAGCCACTGTCGCGACTCTTTTGTCTCCTTTCATGGCTGGCTTCTTTCATGTACAGAATCGCGTCAAATGTACCGATGTCTTCCCATAAATTGGCGCGTGATTTCAGAAGACCTAACGATGTTAGATTTGTAGAAATAATGATTGTACTGTAGACAACCCAGGAGTTGATGCTTGAGCCACGTGTTTAGAGCTCACACATGTGACAAGAGTAATTTTTAAATATTGGTTTAAAAGATTGAAATATTTAAAAGCTAGATATAAAGTTCGGGAATTACACAACTAATAAAATCTGAAGCATAACGGCAGAGTAGAACGTTAGAATAATAGCGACCACGATAATCCAGGTAATTTTAATCGACTCGTTAATCGACCGTTTCATCCAGCGTAATTAATCGTCCGCGGAATCAGCTTCTGCTGCGAGCGTGCCGACCACCGAATTAATTCAATAATAACGCGTAATTCCGCCTGTAATTGCGACTCGCACACCCGTAAATATGTAATTCGATCAAGGACCATTTCCTTATTGCGAATTTGTAATGCAAAATCCTAATGAAGATGCAGTGAATCGTAACAACGCGTGCGGTCACCCGTTTCAACGGTTTCGCATTAAACACTTGGCTTTGCTAATGTTGAATAACAATTGGACACCGATCACGTCAAACTTTATACGACATTTACTTACTGGAAATTTATATGGTAGAAGATAAACATTTCAATGTTTCAAATTACAAGTTATTTGGGAGAAATGAAATTGAGGGAGATTTTTGTAGAATTTTGATTCTGAAAAAGGTAATGCGAGAGGTAATGCGATAGCAGAGAACAGAGTGAGATTTGATGCCTGGAGGTTCTCGGTGATTTGATACGTGGTAATAAAATACGTAATGGTCTGTTGGAGATCGACGTAATTCGATAAGTGGTTGTGTGATACTTTGATGCGCAATGCGTAGTAACTCGCAGCGTTGTAATTCGGATCATGGTGATTCGACGCGTGGTAGTTCAGTGCGTGATAATTCAACGCGTGGTAATTCGACTCATGGTGATTCGACGCATAGTAATTCAGCGCGTGGTAATTCGGCGCGTGAGTATTCGACGCGTGGTAATTTGACACTTGAGTATTCGACGCGTGGTAATTTGACACTTGAGTATTCGACGCGTGGTAATTCCGTATGTGGTGATTCGACGCGTAGTAATCCGACGCGTGGTAATTTGACATTTGGGTATTCGACGCGTGGTAATTCCATATGTGGTGATTCGACGCGTGGTGATTCCATATGTGGTGATTCGACGCGTGGTGATTCCATATGTGGTGATTCGACGCGTGGTGATTCCATATGTGGTGATTCGACGCGTGGTGATTCCATATGTGGTGATTCGACGCGTGGTGATTCCATATGTGGTGATTCGACGCGTGGTGATTCCATATGTGGTGATTCGACGCGTGGTGATTCCATATGTGGTGATTCGACGCGTGGTGATTCCATATGTGGTGATTCGACGCGTGGTGATTCCATATGTGGTGATTCGACGCGTGGTGATTCCATATGTGGTGATTCGACGCGTGGTGATTCCATATGTGGTGATTCGACGCGTGGTGATTCCATATGTGGTGATTCGACGCGTGGTGATTCCATATGTGGTGATTCGACGCGTGGTGATTCCATATGTGGTGATTCGACGCGTGGTGATTCCATATGTGGTGATTCGACGCGTGGTGATTCCATATGTGGTGATTCGACGCGTGGTGATTCCATATGTGGTGATTCGACGCGTGGTGATTCCATATGTGGTGATTCGACGCGTGGTGATTCCATATGTGGTGATTCGACGCGTGGTGATTCCATATGTGGTGATTCGACGCGTGGTGATTCCATATGTGGTGATTCGACGCGTGGTGATTCCATATGTGGTGATTCGACGCGTGGTGATTCCATATGTGGTGATTCGACGCGTGGTGATTCCATATGTGGTGATTCGACGCGTGGTGATTCCATATGTGGTGATTCGACGCGTGGTGATTCCATATGTGGTGATTCGACGCGTGGTGATTCCATATGTGGTGATTCGACGCGTGGTGATTCCATATGTGGTGATTCGACGCGTGGTGATTCCATATGTGGTGATTCGACGCGTGGTGATTCCATATGTGGTGATTCGACGCGTGGTGATTCCATATGTGGTGATTCGACGCGTGGTGATTCCATATGTGGTGATTCGACGCGTGGTGATTCC